ATTATTAACAATCTACACGTTAAAATTTGTTATACTATACCATTGAATATTATTTTGAATACAGTCTCAATATCTTGAACTCCCAAACTTCCATGTCTCAAAATCACCCAACAATCAAATCCACAAAATAACCCAACTATCAAGATCCAAACCACCAAATCTTCAAATGTGAAGAATTATTTATTAACAAACTACATGTTAAAATTTCGAATCCACGAATCCAAATATCGAAATGTTAATACCTTCTGGCATCGCAGCCCAAGGCGTAATCCATCGTTCCTACGGTCCAAAGAGCATGAGTTGCCCAGGCATGTTCTACACGATCGTTGATTGTCGCGATAGAATTCACTATCGAAATTTAATTTTCACCCCGAAAGTTTGTTCGTGCCAAAGCCGTAGCCCGAGGCAGCGAAGGCAATTAAACGATTTCTGTTTCCAATTAAACTCACCACGGTCAACAAAACCGTAAAAAAAGCCACGTGAAACGTTAATAAATTGTTTATATTACCGTCGACACAATCGGCAAATATCTTCCACGATATTATCGATGGTTCGAACGAAGTCGATCCATGATGGGAAGGAAAATAATTCACGGTATAAAAAGGGCATTTTCGAAGGTGAATAGTCGCCCGGGGCGTCCTCTCGGAAATATGACGGCACAAATAGCGTTTCGAAGGGCGAAAAAGGAAAGGTGAAATAGCGAGAGAAAAAAGGGAGCAATGTAAACATTGAGACAAAAGGGTCTTGTTCTCGCAGTACAAACGAACAAATAAATGAAACAGAATAAACTTTTCTCGGATATTCATTCGATTCTCTTTTCCCTTCAGAATAAATTTTGTTTATTATTCCGATGTTATTAATCCTTTTCAAGGATTTGTATGCATTTTACAGACGACAAAATTTCTCTTTTCCCTTTAGAATACATTTTTTTTATTATTCCGATGTTATTAATCCTTTTCATGGATTTGTATGCATTTTACAGACGAAACAATTTTTCTTTTCCCTTTAGAATACATTTTTTTTATTATTTCGATGTCAATCCCTTTTTGTGGATTGGTACGCATTTTACAGACGAACAAATTTTTCGGTCGAACCATTTTGTTGGTTAATGTTCATGTACGTGTTCTTTACGCGAATGTTTCAATTTGTCTCTGCAAATATTTATCGTAGCGTGAGGATGTTTTTATTATTTTATTTGGGGGAATAAAGATGGCAATAATAGGGTCAGGAAAGAAAACGAGCAAAATGAAACGAATTCGTTATGACGGTATCAGTATGCAGAAACATGCAAGAAGTAGAAAATGTTTTATTCTCTTTGATGGTTACAAGACTTTTCAAATATTTATTGCTGTGTTTTATTGATAACAATGATATCGACACTTGGGGTGAATAATTACATTTACATTTCTACGTGTTTTGTAATTGTAATATAAAGGTGTTTCGAAAGAAAGAACTTTCTTTTAGGTTAGGAATCATGATTCAGTTGTGGTTAGAATTATTTTTGTAACGCCTTCATTTTTCTTACATCTTCTGACATTTTATTCGATCTTATTAATTTAACTAAAATTAGTAACTTAAATTCTAGAAATTTTTAAATGCAATAATTTTTGTAAATCGTTGTTAATAACATTGTGTTATGAAGTACTGTTATATTTCAATTCAGCAGAAATTTGTGGGTGCACTAAATTATGTATGTAATATTTTATACTTTCTTCAGAATGATTTACTGCATTTATAAAAGTGAAATTATTATACAGGGTGTCTCAAAACTTGTATAAGTCCCTGAACAGAGTTACAGAGTTACAGTTTACTGGTGTGTTGATTTACATACGAGAAAATATTAGTAATAACTTAAATATTGTAGCACAAATGTTAGTAACAGTAACTTTCCAAATATTATTAAATAACTTAGTTCAATGATTATAATTTTCACATTATAAAATATTGTACTACTACAACTTAGTTAATTTAATAATAGAACGAATTAATTTACAGTAATGAATTAATTTAATTTAATGCAACACAATTTATCTGACAAAGATTTATTTTTCATTACTAGCACATAAACACGAAAGGTGAAGTGTAAAAATTGCAAATCTCTTCTAACGAAATAAACCAATTATTATACCAAAGATGTTATAAATAAAAAAGTTGTTCATTAGATTTACTCGAAATATTCAGTTAGTATTATATATTATATAAACAACATATGCAAAAGAACTGTGAACATATGACAACATATGAACTGTGAAAATTGTAAATCACTCTTGTAACAAAGTGAACCACTTATTATACCAAAAATCTTATAAACATAAATATTGTTCATATTAGATTTACTCGTAATATTCAGTTCATGTACACAAACAAAAGGAAGACATATATAGAGAAAAGCTTTTTGGGGCGCTACTCTACGGTTTTCAGGTAAGTGCTATCCGCTGCTCGAGTTTTCTTACCAAAATGCATTTCCGCCTCTTACAAGCTATAGTCAGCTGCTGTAGAAACAACGTAATCATTTTTCAAAGTAATGTCGAGTTGCCTGTTATCCTTGACTCGACGTCTATATAAACAATCAGTTACACAGGCTCCAATAGTCACGGCTCTTTATAGTCGCGCTTTATCAAACAGGACGGTAGCAACCATAAATCTATCAGTCAGACATCATGTTCCTATCTTGGATTCGAATTCACTTAAAATGAAGTCGTTGACAAATCATTTAATTTATCACTTTGTTCTTTTATGCAAAGATCTCTTTGTCCTCTATCAACAATTTAATTGATGATCTCGCTGTTCAAGTACACAGCTGTTACGCTTTAATTATAATTGTTTACCTCGTTAAAATCAGAGGAATATAATTTTAATTAACCAACATTTGAATGGCTCAGTGACAATCGAAGCTTTTGGAGTCCTTTAGCGAAATTATTAAATTAGATGCATGATGTTAAATGAAATTGAGAACCAGCTTAATAAAATTTGATGAACAAAACTAGATAAATAATGAATGAAGCTGGGTGAATACAACTAGATAAATAATAAATGAACCCAGATAAATAAGTCTATATAAATAACAAATGAAGACGAATGAAACCAAATTGAAAGTTTCGATGTACCGCAAGCTTCCGAAAATGGCGTGACAGAGGAAACTTGACAAAAGTGTGACGAAAGTACGCGTAACAGACATTTGATTAATTTGCAACATTTGGTATGTAGATTTACTGTAGAGCTGTGAATTAGAACGTTCATAGCCTGTTTCCTGTTTGTTTGCACTCCGCTTGAAGGACGTTTCCAGTCCACTTCCACATTGCTCGATGATCCGAGTCCCGTCCGCTCGTTGTCCACATTCTGTCCACTTCTCGTCCGTTTGCATTTCCCGGGACAACATCTTCACCAAACACCGTCAATAAACGAGGGAATAACTCGAGACAAACTAACTTGAAAATAAGGAACTCGGTTTACATGGCGTCACTAACTGTCTCGAGCTAAATTGGAAAATGCTATTTGTATTCTGTTATTATTTGCTGGTAGATGATTTTAAAATTCGAGTGACAATAACAGATGAAACTGCTGTTGTATTTTAGGATCTCTAGGTACTTAAATTACTTTAGGTCTGTCATCAAGTAAGAGGTTTGTCAAAATGTTCATTAGTGAATGAATCTGACAAAAAAGTGGACACAACAGAAGTGGATTATTTTTCAATCAGTCAGAAATTGCCACAACTAACAATATTTCTCAATAAAAAGATTTTTTAATACATACATAATTTTATAGTATTTCATTTAACTTCAAGATGAGTAATAAACCGTACCAAGAACATAAACCACAAAATAAAATTTCTGGAAGATTTTGAAGACATTTTTATGGAGCTCCGCCTTTTCTACCCTGAATGTCCTGAAAGTAAGTCAAATTTCGTTTGAGACAAGGACTCAAACAGGGTACAAACGGTTAACTAACTTCTGCTTATCAGACGTTCCGCACGGTCTCTCGTCACTAATTCAGCAAACATTCGCATTAATGTTTGCAGATACACTTATGCGACCGCTTTTCTCTTAATCACAATTCCCAAAACAATCTCTACGGCTTCGTGAGAATAACCCTCCAGAGGCGTTCGCTCGTAAGGCGAATGATCTTTCGTACGGGAACAAAGAAATCATCCCTTGCTCTCACCTAAGGGCGAATGTACAGTCGCGTGCAATGTCAGCTTCTTCCGTGTAGGGATTCGTATGTGAACTTGTCAACTTTTGAATTCTCGAAATTGGGAATACTTGAGTTTCTGAATTTTTGAGTGTATGAATTTTCAAATTGTCGAAATGGTTACTGAATTCAAGTACCTAGATCCCAAATTCCTAGGTACCTAATAGATCCAGAAATTCCTATGTTTTCAAATAAGAAAGTTCCCAAATATCTATATCCTCTAACACCCTCTTGTTCTGTCTCTAAATTCCAATATCAAATCCTTTGATCCACAAATCCTCACCCACTTATCAAATTTAAAAGCTTCAAGTCTCTCAAGTCTCTTAAAAATACTTGCAGATCCCCAAATCCCAAAATCAGAAGTTTGCCTTTCCACATCCCGAAATTTTGAACTTATCCCCATTCCGAAAATCCCTAAACTTGGAGTTAGAGATCTGTTTCGTCCAGATCGGCATATTTTCCCTAGGGAAACCAGATTTGCCTCGGACTGTACCGTTCGCGAGGGTAAGAAAGCGCGGTAAGGTCAGAGAACGAGGAGAGAAACGAAAGGACGGTAGAAGGCGAAGCGATGACACAGAACGAACCGAGAGAAAGCGGGAACGGGAGCAAGATGGCAGTCGAGAGAACGGCGAAAGGGGATAGAGAAAGAATGATAGTCCGGCGATAAGATGGAAGGAAAGAGAAGGAGAACGAGAGGGCGACGTAGCGAGTTGGAGCGATGGGTTTCGTGGGGCGAGGAGAGCGAGAGGAGGGCGCTCGGCGAAGAGGTGGAGGTTCCGAATGGTTCAGTTGTAGCGGTACCGTGCTTCAGGTCGCACGTGTGTCTCCGTTTTCGCGTTGTTTCTCGCGTGTTGTCATTCGCGCGTGTACCCGTATCTCCGTCTCCGTTGCTCCCTCGTCGGTTTCGTCCCGGTTATCCCCCTCTCGAAGATGCTCCGACTCGCACGTGACGTCTGACCGAACACGCGGTTATTCCACTGGCACGTCGCTACTTCTTCGCCAACTTCGGTTCTCCACACTTGCCTTCTGTTGTCGATGAACTTTCCGTGGTTCCAAGTTCTCCACGAATTCGTGACTCTCGTAACCTCGATCCGAAAATGACATCGTTCCGTAGTGGCTTCACCGGTATCGACCGATACCATCGGATAATTACCGTGGAGCGAATGAATCAGTAACGTTGATCCGCTATCCAGAAAACCGTCGGTTCTCGGTCAGCGAACGGGAGATAATCCTGGATCCACTAACGGAGTGACGCTGGTACAGCCCGGGATAATCTGGGATAAAGTATAAATAAATATCGGAAACTCCTCGAGAATAAACTGTTGTCGGTTAAATGACAGTCGCGAGAGTTTAGTGGAAGTTCGGATGATCGAGCGGGCTGATCGATGATAGGGGAACGTCGGGTGATCGATCGTCGGATGAGAAACGTGCGCGCCGTACGCGTGCCGGCTTCGCGATCGTGCCGGTGCGCCGGTGCACTCGCGAGAAAACTGAATTTAATGTTATGGTAATTGCGGATCGATCGCGGGACACGGATCCGTCTCCGTTACGATTTCCCGTGTTCGTGCATGCACGTAACGGCCGGCATAAAAGGTCTACGAAGAGGGAGGAAAGGTAATTGAACTATCGTACGAGCTTCCCGCCGGAATTTCCAGGCAAATTAACCAGAGTTGAAACTCTTTCCACTCTCCGCTCGCGATAAAGGCTCCAAGTCGTTCCGGTAACCGACACGAATGGAGTTCCTCGTGCGAGCTTTTCGGAGAGATCCATAATAGAGGATCGATTGGTCGAGACTTCAAAGGCGAGCGTGCAAAGAGCGTCGCAAAGAAAAAGGGGTGAAAACCGCATACACGGCCGCACTGTTTGCACTGACCCGAACCAATCCTCGCGAGGAACACTTGTTAATACATAGGACAGCCGTTTGGAGGTGATCAATCAGCGTGAAGAGTCTCCACGGCGAAGAGGACATCCATCAAACGAACCAAGTAGTCGAACGATGTCTTTCGTTTTTAAACCGGCGAACTTTAACCGTTACCGATCGGAAGACGAATCGTATAGGACGGGACGATCGTCCGAACAAATTTCGTGCGATTCATCCTTTCAAATGTTCCGCAAATAAGAAAGCTTGAAACCCTGCCGTTTCATCAGATCTCGAACATCCCTTTAATCGTGCCATTTTATAAGGAAAGTGGATCGAGTCAAACGCGTAACGTATTCTCGGAAGCTGCATAGCACGTTCTTGCCAGAATTTCGGTCGCGTACGTGACGAGAAAGATTTCGAAAACGAACTAGCTAACCATCGGGGATCGTTGAGCCGTAATCAAGCGAGGTCACTGCTCGCGGCATTAATATTTGCGCTGGAAACCTTAACGATGCAACGAGCCACCATGAAGGTGTGAAGGAAAAGAGTAACTAGGTCTGTTTACCTGAAACACCTAAAGATTTCTTGGAAACGTGATTAAACTCGTAACCGACAAACGACACTTCGTAAATCGACTCCGGAGAAAATAAGCGAAATAGTTGCGAATACGATGCGATTATCGATTAAATCGCTCGGAATACAGCGGAAGATGGGTCTGTTTTGCATTCGTCGGATACGCGGTTGATTGAATTACAAATCGACGCGGAAGATCGAGGAAAAACAAGATAGGATGATTGTTCGAGAAATGGCTGGGACTACTTAGACGGGTGTAATTTAAAAAATCTCGGGATAAACGAGGCTGACGTGGGACGTCACGCGTCGCGAAAGTTTTCCGCGGGAGACGAACAAGGATGCTGGTAATCCGAGACCCTTCGCTGCAAATCAGCGCGGACGAAAGCAATTCCAGAAGATAAACAAGTTCACTGAGAAGCACCGGATGTACTGATTGTCATTGGAGTTGATCAAACCTCGGAACAGTTTAATGGATGTGATATTCGCTTAACAGGCCAAACTCTTCAGCGAAAAACACCGACGAATGCTGGCACAAGTGTTCCCTCGTCAAAGATAAGACAACCTAATAATAAACCAAAGCATATCGATTGTCGAGCGACTCTTCAGCCACGCGCATTGATCGAAAGGCAGGGATAATTTTCTAATTACCGAACTGTGGTACAAATCGCGCGCTAACACTGCGAGGCGCACGTAAATCTATCGTCAAACAGAAATTTGCTCTGTATAAAGCGAATACTCTCTCTGTACAGAGTTTCAAGCTGATCAACGTGATCGTGTTGTGGCTAAAATCCGTGGGATCTTCCGTCGCCCACGAGCGACTAATCCTGCGACAGCAAACATAATTCAAATCAAAGGACAAAGGTAAAAGATTGAATGAAACTCGCTACGGTCCGTCAAACAAACCTAACTCCGGACAAACAGTTCCTGGTGCGAGTGCTTCAATCGACATGGCGAGTTTAGTAGCCCGGAATTAATCCGAGAAATATTTTCGAGGCGCACTAGGGAAGAAGTTAACGGCAAAGATAAACAGAGAGGGTGCGAAAGAGGGAGTCGAAGGAGGGAGCGAAACGAGAGATTCTCCGCGTTGTGGTGTAAGTGGGGGCCAGGTGGGTGTGATACAACGGCAATAATGAGTGTCGAATGCAACTTGTCACGAGGTCGCGATAAAAAGTTGTCGGTGACGAAGCTGTCTCGGTGGTCGTCGCGTGGCTAAGTGGACGGTGCGGGAATGGTGCGGAAGTAGGTTTCCTTTCTTCCGGCTTCCGCTGGAAAAAGTGACGTACAAGTGGCTTTAGAAGAGGACGATGATGTCTAGACAAAGCAAAGACCCCGTGCAGAAGTGCCACTCGGACCCAGGTGCTGCGAGTACCGCCGGTACTCCTTGCAGCCCTGGTAAGCGAATTTCTCGCAGAATCGTGCCAGGCATTCAGACATCCAACACACGCAAGTGTGTTCTCACCTTGGACGGGTACAGCTACGTGATCGGTGAGTACGAACCATGATAAGGGTCGAACTCTTCTATCGTTCGAGTACGGCGGGAAAAAAGAACAGGGGGTTGCTTATCTTCCATTTTCGATGCTGGTAGCGCGTGCAATGTTTTATCACCGTTATAACTTCTTGGGAAAAATATGGCAACTATTTTAAAGAACTACTTGGAAAGGTTTGAAACTTGAGGCAATGATACGGAAAACTGTTGCAAATTTCCAAACTTTTAAACTGTCCGTATCAACTTCCGCAACTGGTTGCAATATTTATCGATCTATTGTATCGTAGTTGACTCGCGGTACTCGTGGGTCAACGAAACGATTATTCTTTTTCATTGCAGCGTTTCGTGTTATCGAACTCGTTCGTTGTCACTGAAGGATGCTTGTAATAATCAGGATCTCGGTGTACAAAGTACACGCGAGAACGACTCGTTATGGCGCACTTGACTCGTACGAGTAATTATTCTTTGCCGGGTAGCAATCGTGTTTGTAACTCCTACCGTGTCGTAAATTGTATTCGTGTGTATACGTAACCGGTGGCATTACCGCGCCGTGTCTCGTCTTTTATCCTAATTAAGCAGAACCTCGGAAGCGATGTCGCTGAAAAAAAAGAAGCTACGCGAGCTTAATTAATCGAGAGACACGTGAACGACTGTACAGAAGGCTGAAAACACTTTTGAATTCCATGGAGCGCGTTCGCACATGGATTTCCATTGAATCGTAAGAAACACGCTCTGTTTGTTATCGCAGCGCGAGGAACTGTTTGATGAGTTTCGCAGTCATTATTGCTTCAAAGCTGGGAATACGAATGCATGATATTTTGCTTTTCTTTGCGGATAAAAATGACCACATGTGAGATACGAGACACAAATATTTCAGATAAAATTGACATCTTAGAACTTCATTTTAGAGGATTTGATTTATTTAGTTATTTAGTGAGAATTTAGTAAAATTTATTTAGTGAGAAAAAATGAGAATTTTTCAGAGATAGATATTGATGTACAGATAGTAATTTTGACGTAATTTAACAATTTAAATTTAATTCCAATTTTGTATGAAAATTTTTAATAAATGTAAAGCGCAAGCTCCACTGTATTTTTATTTAAAAAATTGAAAATATTAAAAACCTTCACATCTGTAATTGTAAAGTAAGAATAAATAAAATAAATGCACGTTGAAAAAGTAATATTTAATGTGTAACTTTTTCATACAAAATGGACATCGTTTTTGCGACTGCATCAAAAGGCTACTCGTGAATACTTTTTGCTGAATGTAAGCAAAAAATTTATGCTTGCTCAGGAATAAATTTAGGGGATGAAGTTGTAGCACAAATTTATATGTGAAACTTTCAAATTTTTTAAACATGAAATTTTCAATATTTCCAAACATTTAATTGATTTAATCTGAAGCTACTTTAAGCTACTTGAAGCTAATTTAATCTACAAAGCAAATCTATGGTATTTTGTGTTCATCGCCATTTTCTCTAAAGAACCTTGTTTTACAGTTTAAAATCCACACGATAGAACTCTAAAAATTTACCAATAAATTTTCTAATAAATCATGCAATATTTTAGGAACCTACAAGCGTCCTCCTTGCACTGATTTGCTTAGGTGATTGCGGGATGTCAAACGCGTAATTGATTTTCTTTCACAAAAGTCTCAAAGCAAAATTTTTCAAAGACTCTCTGATTCATCGTCGAGCTGTTAATCCGTTTAGAGTTCATTTACATTGAACTTTGTTCGAAGCAAATCTATTTACGACCCAGCGACGTAGCCGCAGTAATTGCAGTGCTTGACGACGACCGACTGCGCGTTAAAAAATCGACGAGGAAACTCGAAGAAGGGTTGGAAGAAGGGAAACAAAAGAATAAGAACGTTTTTATCGCGTGCAACGTACTATGCGAGAGATTACGGAGGAATATTTTTAAACGCAAGAACATGCACGTTGCGCACGGAATTACGAAACGGAGTGATTTTATCATTTTCATGTGTAGCACGCTGAAAGAACCACCTTTTACACGGAGATTATGGAAATGGCTAGGATATTACCGCGTATTGTTTCATCCTTCAAGAAGAATTAACTCCGTGTACAGTCGCGAGCAACGCACTCATCAAAGATGGCGACAAGAAGATACACTGTCGTTTGTTTGATTCTGATTGGTATTTTATGAAGTTTAGAATTTGCATATTTTATGAAGTTTAATATTGCAGAAATTGAGATTTAGGGAATTTAGGTAGTTAGTAGAATGTGGAATTTTTTTATTCGAATGTGTGGACGGCGATCTGAAAATTTGGAAAGCTGAGAAACTTGAGGAATTTAGAGAATTCTTCGAATTTTTTGAATATTTAGAATTTGGGAAATTTGGGAAATTTAGGAAATTTAGGAAATTTAGGAAATTTAGGAAATTTGGGAAATTTGGGAAATTTGGGAAGTTTGGGAAATTTGGGAAATTTAGGAAAATTAGGAAATTTAGGAAATTGGGGAAATTTGGAAAATTTAGGAAATTGGTGAAATTTGGGAAATTTGGGGAATTTCGAACGTTTGTGGACTTTTGGAATCTGGAATTTTGAGAGTTTAGGAAATTTGTGGAGTTTGGAAAATTTCAGAAATTTGAGAAATTTGAGGAATTTGGGAAATATGTGAAATTTGGGAAATTTAGGGAATTTGGGAAATTTGGGGAGTTGGGAAAATTTGAGAAATTTGCGGAATTTGGGCAATTTGGAAATCTGGATTTTTGAGAATTTTGGAAATTGGGGAACTTGGGAATATGGAATGTTGTAAATTTGAGAAATTTGGGGAATTTAGGAATGTGGAATTTTGAGACTTTGAGAAATTGGAGAATTTTGGGAATTTTAGGAATTTGGGAAAATTTGAGAAATTTGAGAAATTTGAGGAATTTGGGAAATTTGGGAATTTTTGATATTTTGGGAATTTGAGGAATTTGGGGAATTTCGGGAATTTGGAGAGTTTGGAGGAAATTTGAGATATTTGGAGTATTTGGGGAATTTAGAAAATTTTGAAAATTTCGGGGATTTGAGAAATTTGGGGAATTTGGAAAATTTGTGAAATTGATGAAGTTATCGAATTTGAAGATTGGGAATTTAGATAATTAGTAAGAACTTGGAAGATTGGTCATTTATATAATTAATAAATAGAATTTTAAAATGTCTCCATTTGACTACCCAAACGAGACTCTAAAAATGTGGAAATTACAATATTTGGGTATCTGAGGTGTAACAATTTCTCCTCCCACGTATAATCTCTCCTCCTCAGCCCTCAAGAATCCTCAAAACAAAATATCCTTATCCAACATTGCACTCGAGTGTACATCGCATTAATTTCACGAACAGAATGAATCGTGACCGCATTCAATTCTCCATTTTGTCGTCGAACGTAATTCGTATTCCAGCCACGAGCGATGTATACATACCCGACATTTTTGCTTTATCATTGTTACGTGGTTCGTTGTTAACTCCTGCTACGTTCATTTGTCCATTCGTTCATCAACGACTTTGTACTTTTTTCAAATCCGTATCAGTCGATAATGCGTGACAGTTCTGCCGTTATCAATCACGTATCCATCCTTGTCTGTCTATTGTCTTTGGTTTCTTCCACAAGTTTTCCGAGGATTCCGAGCTTGATGATCGACGTTTCTATTACCAAGGGAAGACAAATCGGGATCGAGTAAATTAAAGGAAATACTTGGTCATTGAGGAAATGTGTTACACGTTGTTCATTATCGACGTATGAGGATTTATGGGTAAATTGAGACTTGCAGTTTTTGAATATAACTGCGATCTTGCAAAAGTATTTTTGTATATGTATTGCAGGCAAATCTGTAGATTTTATTATTAATTTTTATCGAGTTTAATAATTTGGAAAATTGGGGGAATTTTAAGAATTTGAGATATTTGGAGTATTTGAGGAATTTGGAAAATTTGGGGAATTTTGGGGATTTGAGAAATTTGGGGAATTTTAGGAAATTTGAGGAAATTCGGGGAGTTTGGGGAATTTGAGGAATTTTGAGAAATTTGCGAAATTTAGGACATTTGAGAAATTTGGGGAATGTGGAATTTTGAGACCTTGAGAAATTGAGGAATTTTTGGAAATTTGGGAAATTGGGGGAATTTGGAAATTTTGGGAATTTACGGAGTTTCGGGAATTTTTGGAAATTTAGGAAACTTGGGTAATTCGGGGAATTTGGGAATCTGGAATTTTGAGAAATTGGGGAATTTGGGGAATTTGGAGAATTTGGAAAATTTGGGGGATCTGGGAATCTGGAATTTTGTGAATTTTGGAAGTTTGAAGAATTAAGGAAATTGGGGTATTTGGGGAATTTGGAGAGTTTGGAAAATTTGAGAAATCTGGGAATCTGGATAAATTTTTATCGAGTTTCATAGATAGTTTCTATGAACACTTATTTATGTTCAACTGTCTAAAAATTTTTATTAAAGTGCTTGTTTCCTTCGAAATTATTTTTATGATTAGGTTCCATCAAAAATGCCATCCTTGGAAATTTTTTCATATTCCTGATTAAATAATCACAGTGTATATCATAGATTGCACTTATTATAAATTAATAGAAATGAATAATGCTTTTTAAAATATCGGAAAAAATTCATAAACTCAATTGTTTCTACAAATTTTTCATTACTTATTTAAATAACTATTGATTTCATATACCTTTTCCATGCATTGTTGAAAGTTTCAATGAATAAACAGTGTTACGTTTGTCTTCAATATTTCAATGTTTTTTGTCGACTTTGTTTATTGACCAACTTGTTTGATTTTGAGCGACCGATATTGCGGTTTATTATTTTTTTCCGTAGAGTCACATCTTCTTTTCGATTTTTTAACGTTTTATCCCTGACACACATTCGTGATTTCACTCTTTGCAAAATTATTAATAATTAATAATAATTGAAAGTCAGTATTAATAATAATTGAAAGGCAGTATAGTTGAAAGGAGCTTTGAGTATAATTCTTTTATAAAAATAATC